TATATAGTATATCTATATATATATTATTATATATGTGTGTATATATATATATATGTGTGTGTGTGTGTGTGTGTGTGTGTGTGTGTGTGTATGTGAGTGTGTGAGTGTGTGTGTAATATATATATATATGCGTGTGTATATATCTATATTTGTGTGTGTGTGTGTGGTGTGTGCGTGTGTGGTGTGTGTGTGCGTTTGTGTGTGTGTTTTCATGTGTAGGCATAAATGTATTTAAACATATATGTGATCTCGAACTCACCACATCACTATCTCCCGGTAGAAAGCCGCCGTGCCGTCTGATGCCCAGCGAACTGCCTGCTTTGGTGAAAAATACCAGACCAGTCTGCAAACCCAGGAGTATAATCCAATCGATGAGTTTAGTTCAACGCTTTTGGCAGACTGGTTTCAATATGCTGTGCTATTAATAGCTATTCGTTCGAATTCAAGAACAAAGTCATCCACTCGGACTTTTATCATATTGCATAATGATTTTGCCACTGTCCCAAGATCTTTTCGGACCAAGATAAGCTCGATTTTCAACCCTTGTAGATGTGTATTTTCAAGGTTTAGCTGTATCAGATACGACTAAGATACGACTAAGCTCCCGTTCAGTGCTACAACCAACCCATATACTGGGCTGCCTTGTTGTGTCTGTGTATGCCGATCTCTGCGTGCCCTATTAAAGAAAACATACCTCAGTCAGTACTTTCAGGAAGCTAGTAGCAAGCGCCGCATCGTCCTCGTTGCTGAAGGGCAATGATGCTTGCCCAACCCATGGGCATCTGTTGCGTGAGGAAGTATTTATATCAGTACAGAGTATGTATATTTGTAGACGAGTGCATATGAATGCAACAGTATAAGGGTATATGTGGAAAGGTTTCTTTTCCAATCTTTACGTGACGACAAACGTATGGGTATATAGAGGATGCGTATGAACAGGCGAGTGAATAGACACGTGTCAGTATGCGAGAATGCGTGGATGCAAAAATATGAGTATATGCATAAAGGTAAGTGTGTAACAAACATGTAGATCAGTGCATAGTTGTGAACATGCGCACATGATGGCGGAACCAAATACGAGGTGTTGATCTCAACTACAGTTGGCGTGGTACTTTTGTCGTCCGGTCGCTATCGATTGAACATAACGCGACCAACATATAGCCTTATATATCACGAACGAGTGTGTCGAGAACAGATACGTTCTCCTTGATGTGGCAGTTAGCCGCCGATACCAGCTGAGAGTTTAAAGCGTGATACCGCCTTGAGTTTCAAACTTTAAGTATACAAGTACGTCACATACTCTTTGAACTCATTCGATTGAGGGTTTTTATATGTAATCGGCACTGCTTGCCTTGCGGTCCACATGGTATGCCAAGCTGTCGTGAGTTAAAATCAGTAAAACGGTTAATGACTGACATCCTTTGTCAATCTTGATTATTGAAAATACACACAAGGATTTATATAGTATATATATATATATATATATATATATATATTATTATATTATATTGTATATATATATATGTATATGTATGTATGTATATAGCTATAATAAATATATATGTGTGTGTGCGTGTGTGTGGGTGGGTGTGTGCGCGTGTGGGTCTGGGTGTGGGTGTGTGTGCGTGTTCTTATGTGTATGTGTCCGTGACCCACATAAGTATTGATTTATTTGTACCTGAGTCCAAATTCATATTTCTACTATGCTACGCATGTGATTGATTGTAATTGGGCATGCATGGACGAGACTGTACATGCGTTCGATCTTAATCGCGTCTACCTAAACAGTATCATAACACGACTGCCTGATTGTATATAAATCGAACAGATCAGAAACGTCACGCATACATGACATCAAACATATACATCAAAATCAAGAATATAAATGGAATGACTTTTCCAGCTAGGACAATCAACATTTCAGACATATATACATGTATAATATCATCGAAAAAAGACCAAAGTAGATTCAAATGCGCAGTAGTTTCCGTTCACGAGTAAACTATGATCTCTGTATAATATGTGTCAACGTACATCTGTACATATCTAGGTCATGAACATAACACCTCGTCACGAACCTATTAATCCACACTTGTATACCATAGAATCATCCACATACTCTCGATCTTCCTATGCGGAGACTGTCGTACTATCCATTCAGTATATCTTCCAAATTCTGATGATTCTCTGCACGCCGATGCTATCTGCCACCACATGGTGCCACCGAAAATTAGCGCGAGCACTAAACTGAGTCTGTGGGGTACATTAGGAAGGAAGGAATAGCTTTAAATAATTTTGTTGCATTGGAATATGATTTGTTCCATATAGTATATCAAAGTATAGTCGATGTCAATCTCAATGTGAACGAAGTTTTCCACTTGGTACTAGTGACATTCCGAAATCTCAAGCTCACTAGTGACTTTTTCTCGCATTCTATACGATCAAATGGATTGTGTACTTGAACAATCACAGCTGTCTAGCATTTACAATGGCATATAGTTCTTTCTAACTGTAAGTACACATACCTTTTATAGCTACCGGATGAGGATTTGAACTTTGTTTTCATCTGTAAGCTTGGTACACTTATTGCTAGTGTGTCGCACGTTGAGCAACCTGCTCCACACCTATACCCGTGCGCGCATACGCCCTCGACGGGGTTGAATGCATGCATAGTGATATATATTATTGCTAAAGCCTTTCAGCCTTGTGAATTACTGCCAATATACGGATGAGTTATCTGTCCGATTGTAGGTCAATCGATATACTTTATTTTGTTAGACTGGTTGTGTCTGGGTGTCCAGTCGACGCAGGATCTAATATTAGTCGCGTCTCGTGTTTGATATCTCACATCGAAAACGATTGAAGACAGTCTATAACAGTTTGAATGTTTTGGGTTCTGAGTCTCTGAGAAGTGAAAGACAAATTTCAACCCCAGTCCGCCAGAAATCGCGTGAGCCGTCAGCCATCAATTCCATCATCCACGATGATACTTCGCTATGTAGTTTTTATATATATAAAAAACACTTTTAATACTAAAAATTAAAAATTTACTGTGGCTGTAGCGACCAGTGGTAGCGACGGTTGCTACGCTGTTGACAACTATCAACCAATAAGAGGTCGTATTATGTGAATTTCGTCATCCCGTTTGTCGACATCATTCGTGAGACTGTGAAGTTATAGTAGTGGTAAGTGGCGGTCGCCCTTCTGACTTGTTTTTGCTATATATGGTTCGTGAATTTATGATGTACATACAATATATGATTATGTGGTCATATATGTACATTTCAATACACATACATACGCACCTGTTCCTCTTTTGTACATAGTGAAAATGATGAGTAGCTGATACTACACAATGAACAGTTCCTTCGGACCTGAATTTCCTACCACGTCAGACATACGTGAATAAACAAAGCTGTATCTTCGCATGAACTCATACACTGGTCCAGAGAAAAAAGTACGATATGCTATACAAATTCATTCAGAGTTGCCAATATGATACAGCAAGTGGAAGGATTTTATACAATTGACTTGATTGGACACGTATTTAATACACACTTTATAATTGTGTAGTTATAGCACAGCCCACGCTGTAGATAAAGGATGGACAAATGTACTTTGGGTGTATACTTGGGCATTGTTCTGTTAAAACAGATATATTTCGACGACAGTCAATGAAAATTACAAAGTTTAGTCGTGAGTCTTGCAAGTGGAAATGTATGGTATATATATATATATATGATTCTGTGTTATGTGTATGTGTATATGCAAATATGTATATATATATATATATATATATATATATATATATATATATTAGTTATGTACGTATTAGTAGTTACGTTAGTTA